GTGATGCAATCCAACAGCTACATTCTGGCAAGGCAACAGATAAATTAGGTCTTGCTGCTGAACATTTTAAAAATTCTCCAACAACTGTTACTCATTTTCTTACAAACTGCTTTAATAACATTTTCAACAGTCATCATATACCTGATATCTTTAAATCTGGTATTGTAACACCTGTACTCAAAAAAGGGAAAAATCCAATGATAATGGACAACTATAGAGGAATTGCCGTAATACCTGTCATCTCAAAACTTTTCGAATGTACCATTCTTCCTCGTCTAACAGTGAATTTTAATCAGTCATCACTTCAATTCGGCTTTACAAAAGGCCTGTCGATGCTTATGGCCAGTCTCATTATCACTGAAGCTAGAGCAGAAGTAAAACTAGTCACAATGGAGCCTTTATTTCTTATTACTGTGGACAGTCAGAAGGCCTTCGATGTGGTAGATCACATCATACTACTAGATGCGTTATATGACCATACTCAGAATCATCCTCTTTGGTCAATAGTGAAAAATCTTTACTCAGGGCTAGTTTCAAGAGTCAAATGGAAGGGAACCATTAGTGATAGTTTCAATATTCATCAGGGAGTACGACAAGAAGGCATTCTTTAACCTTTTCTATATAAAGTCTATGTTAACAATCTGCTTGAGGATCTTAAATCGCACAGTCTTGGTCTTAAAATTGGCACAAATTATGTTGGTTGCCCAACTTGTGCGGACGACATAGCCTTCTTAAGCAGTAGCCATCAGGAATTACAATGCATGCTTTCTGTTGCAACTCATCATGCCAGACAGTCTAGAGTAACAATAAATCCTACCAAAACTAAAGCTGTCATCCTCAACAAACAGAAAAACATAAACAGGTCCGACTTAAACTGGACACTAGGCAATACCCCTGTTTATCCATCAGAAGACACAACACATCTTGGCTTAATAAGAGCAGAATTGAAGGAAAACAATCTTAATGTCGATGCGCGCATCATCATTGCGAGAAGAACCCTATACTCTCTGATGAATACTGGTCTACATGGAACAAATGGACTAAACCCACAGACATCTTACAAGATATATCAGAGCTATGTTATTCCTCGTCTGTTATATGGAATGGAAATACTCCCTCTTAACCAGAGCCAACTTGATATCGTGACCCGCTTCCACACAAAAACATTGCGTACTATTCAGTCTCTGCCTACACGAACAGCCACTTGATCGGTATTTATGCTGTTGGGTGCTCTAACAATTGAGGCAGAAATACATAAAAGGCAACTTTCATTTCTGTATAGTGTTCTTTCTTGTAACAATTCGACAATTCAAGGCTTAGTAGACAGACAAATCATCATGAATATTGATAACCATCTCAGCTTCTTCTGTAAGGTCATAGGTGTGCTAGCTTTATATGATCTGACAAGTATAACTACACTTAGTCAAAATTTACCGTCAAAATTAAAATGGAAAGCAACAGTTAAATTAGCAATTCAGGATTATTGGACTAAAACCATCGTTAAAGAAATAGAAACAAATTCTTCATTAACATATTTGGACAAAACCTTGTTAAGAATTGGATCTACACATCCGGTTTGGACCAGCCTTTCTTCAACCGTCTCGGATGCGATAAAAGTCCGGCTACTAACTTGGACTTATTTACTTGAATCTCACAGATCTAAATTTAGTGGTGGCAGGGAGTCGGCATTATGTAAATGCTGTGGAACGTCGGATAAAGATATAATCCATTTCCTGATGTTGTGTCCGGCCTTGCACCAGCAGGGAAAAGAAACATTCAGCTAACTTAAGTCTTATGTGATATCAGTTATTGGATTGGGATATTGGTCTAAAGAATTTAAAGGACATTTGGATCTGATAAGACTTATTGTCGACAGTTCTTTTCTGCTGCCAAAGCTTAGAAATAGGACCGAACTGGACAAAATTCAAAGATTAGATACGAATATTTGTTATAGACTCCATTTTCAGCGTGTATGGAAATTACAAGGAAAATAATAACTGTCTCGCTAAATATATAGATAATACAATCAGTGTAATAAGGAAAGATATGAGATGAACATTATATACATAAGTAAAGGTAGAGGCAGGGGTGTCCTGCTTTCCATTGTATAAAGCACCCTATATTTTTAGATTTTAGTTGTGTACAGTAAATCTTAAAATACATATTGACAAGGCCTAGATATTTTTACCTTTTAATTGCGTAAATTTTTTATCAGTCCTTAAATATATTAGATTTTATCCGTGTACAGTGAATAATTTTTTTTTTTTAGTTATTTGTGGAAAACTTTTAGTGCATACTATTTAAGTTTTAATTAACTCCCCACCTGGATAATATCCGTTGAGGAGGTGTTCCATAATTTGAAGGACATACATATAGAAGAAGAAGGAACAATCACAAACTGATCACCGAACACTAAAAAACATGCAAGAACTCCTACAAAAACCAGGAGTTAACCAAGGTGCTCTGGGAGGGTAAGCTAATGTTATTTTTTTTCAAACAAGAGTCCCGATAAATAAAAATCCCGAATTTCCGGACATAAAAACACGTTAATCCCGTGTCTCGATTAAACTAAATCCCGAAATCCCGATGATAATATAGCTCGTTCCCGAAATCCCGAACTTAAAAATGGACAATCCCGGAGTCCCGATAAAGGTCCGACCCCCCCCCCCCCCCCTCAGTGTTTAAATGTTCATCAACAGGTGAACTGGACGAGCATCTCTTACGTCAGACGTGTGACGTCATGTAATATTGTAAAATAATACGCGTTCTTAACATTTGTCAAAATTATTTATACACTTCATTTACAATAACAAATAATACAACTGTAAAAACAAATTATGGTCGAAATCTTTTATTCTTTTCTGAGCTTCGACGAACCATTTTTTTTCATGTTTGTGAAATTCTTCTTTTTGAAAAAAAACAGATAATTTAGCATGCTTACCTTCGTGATCACAGATACCCTGAACGTTGATAGAATGTGTTTTTCCTGTTCACAAAGGTATAGTCGTCATCATTGGGAGCTCGGATACGAATGTCTTTCATCTACTGCTCCGATAACGCACGGAAATCTAGCTATGTCATAAATCAATTAATTATAGCTTATCTGTCAGTCTCGTTCGGCCAACAAAGGAAATCAGCCCCATGAGAGCGTCTGACGTACACATTTGTTTTGCACCTGTTTCCGATTGAATTACTTTTGAAATAGTACACTTGTTGTACCCGAAATTGTCAACAATTACTTGCATAAAACTACCAAAAAGCGTAAAATCTTAGAGCAGTGTTGATCTGTGCGTCAACTGGAATTGCATGGCTCCGTTGGGTAAGTCTTTTTAACTCATAAAGCAAGTTAGTTAAAACTTCAAAGCTCTCTTGAAAAAAAAACCTGTACCTCGACTGAAATTCAGACTCGGTTTATGGTTTACCGTGGAATTCTCTATAAATGTGTGGTTTTTAGATTTGCTGCACAATATACAGCAAACGGGCAGCCGTATTTAGCCTCTGGATAAGAACTTATCCTAACCCTCAGACAAACACTGGACACATTTTGTCCGTGGATAAGCTTTTCTATCCACTGGAAAATTGCTAAACAACCGAATTTAACCAGTAGATACCGGGGGTAACTTAATCCGTCTTTTGAACAACCGGGCCCTGGTTTCTCAGAAAGAAAAAGGAAACTTGAGAAATGCAAACAATACCAGTTGATCCTCTTGTTTTCAATTTTGAGCTAACTGCACGCAAAAAAAGATGACCAATAGTATAAAACATCAACTATCTTTGGCTTTATAAGTTGTGTTGAAAGAAAACTCAGGCGTCACAAATATGATCACTCAATAATGGAAGATGAGAATGGGATGAGAGTTTCAACCTAACCAGGCAAACACTGAAAGCCAATTAAGCTATTAAAACAAAAAGGCAAGGGCAGCAAATCTAAAAGGACTAAGTCACTTACAGATGTGGAGATCAGCATGTTGTTTCATCAAATACTAGTATGAAAATAAACGAACAAGATGAGAAATTAAATCGTATTGACAAATATTTCGGCACACAAATGGCCTTCGTTATTGTCAGTTTATCATGGATGTCACTCTTTATTCGGAAATAAGTTGACTTGTCTAAAATGAAATCGTTCCAAGGGACACCAACGTGTACAATTAAGAACACCATACAAAAAAAATAAACCTTGATCATTCAAAGCCAGGCTGGATCTTTAAAAGTAAGATTGATTTGATATGCAAGGCACTGTTACATTATGTAAGATGTCATGTTTCAGAAAAAGTTAACGCCTCCATACATTCATAATAGTTGAACCATACTTATAAAGCCACAAACACAGATCTTATTGTGAAAACATAATGTTGAAAAATGTACTATAAAAAGGGTCAAGGTCAAATGAACGCTGTCAGACAGGCATATACACCTTTCAAGTACCGGTATTATATAAATAAACTATTGTTGACCTATTTGCTTAAAGTATCTTAGACTAATCTTTGACTAATGAATAAAATTGAGAATGGAAACGGGGAATATGTCAAAGAGAAAACAACCCGACCAAAGTGCAGAAAACAGCCGAAGGCCACCAATGGGTCTTCAACACAGCGAGAAAATCCCGCACCCGGAGGCGGGCTTCAGCTGGCCCCTAAATAAAAATGTGTACTAGTTCAGTGAAAATGGACGTCATACTAAACTCCAAAACATATAAATGAAATAAAATAAAAAAAACATACAAGACTAACAAAGGCCAGAGGCTCCTGACTTGGGACAGGCGCAAAAATGCGGCGGGGTTAAACATGTTTTGTGATATCTCAACCCTCCCCTGTAAAAATAAGGTCAATACTTTTGTCGTATTACTAATAACACTGAAAAAAATTACTTGATAAAAACCTAAATATTATTTTTCCAAGGACAACGGGCATGTACCAGCTCTCCTTACATCATTAATATCAAGATTTATACAAATAGTTTACGCCATCGTCGAATTGTATATAGGTAAAATTAGAATCTTTTAAAACTTAACATTATCTCTTTATTAAAAAATAACCCTGCAACAGGAACAGACAATTATGTTTACCATGTAGTACGTATACAGTTCAAAGCAATTGTGTTATTATAGCTTATAAGTTTTTCAATGGCAACACAGTAATCTTTTCCAAAGAATAGATTACAAAAACTTGTCTCATCCTTCAAAAAAACAACATAACACACGACCTCACTGAACACATATAAAGTCAACTATTGTATTTATAATTTCTCATATGCTTATTTGTTCTCAAATGTCTCAAAATTACACCGGTAAAATAGCGGGACGTTAAAAAGTCCCTTTGAGCAATATGTTATACACTCTTTGGTTCAGTGCTAGTAGAGGTAACTGAGAGACAACATGTACACAGTTGACTTTCTACATCATAACTGTTATGACTGTTGCTCAGAAGCAATTTCCCACTGTCTTCCACTGGATGCACATTATTCCAAGTCTTTTCTTCATCGTTTAGATCTAAAATAACACGAAACGAAATTAAATATATATCTGTCCATCTATCTTTGTTTTAAAATACAAAATCATCGACAAACAACACAATACTATATATACATTTTTATTAGTTTCTAAAGTTGGTTTTTTGTATAATCTTAATGTCCCATTTTTGTCATATAGCTTTTTAACAGTTTCGATCTTATACAATCTTTGCTTTCAAGTATTCGGCTTTGGTCGTTCCTAATGAACATAAATCCAGAAAACCGCTTCGGACGCATGAAATCATAAAGTTTATTTTTTCATTTTTTACACATATAATCGTGCCAATTTAACAGTCTATAATCAAAGCAATTCGCATTTTCATAAATTAAACAAATTTGATATATCGTATTTTTCGAGAGAAAATAGGGGTGAAAAAAATTTATGCGCACAACATGTGTTTATCTGAAAACCTTCAACATGGAATACGAAAGGCATATACGTTTGTAACGCTTAAAATAAAAACGTCATAAAGTACAAAAACTAAAGTTTTAATTCAATAGTTCTTTAAAACATGCACAACGGTGTTTAATTCCACAAAAGAGATATTCAGATACAGTACTTACACGTAGTTCTAGTGTTTCCATGCTTTTTCACTTGATTTTCACTGAAACGAAAAAAATAGATTGAAAACTAATACTGGCGAAATTTTCAAATTTCTATACAATATTAACATTATATTTTTTAAGAATGTTGGTCAAATAAATTAAAAAGCAATTACACCAAAGTACTCGCACTGTTGGTTTATTTATTTTCGATCTGGTTTATTGATTCCTCTATTTTGCATTTTTTTTCCCAAAGTATTTCCAATGAGAGAATACCGAAGAAATTAAATCTTAAATACAGTATAACCAAGAAGATAATTATTACTTTAACCTCAGAAACACATGTGTACAAGACAATAAATACTATAGGGTTATAGCACGAATATTGAGGAACATTGTAGCAGTATATCAAATTGAGAGAATATATACACTTTCATGGAAGAGTATAGAATGCAATAACGGCTAAAATACATTTTTCAATAACTCATCTGAAATTCTCTACTTTTTAGGTATATGTATGAATGAAAACCTGTAAAAATCCATATCCCTCTTTTTCCTTTTTTTCCCCGATCCTTTCTTTTTTACCTCTATATCCAACATTCCCAATTTTTATTCCTTATATCCCACATCCCCACTTTTTAACACCTATATCCTACATTACAAAAGCATGTCATCCCTCTCGATGTTCGGAAAAGAAAACATTTATCCGATGAAAGACAAGTAAACAAACAAAACAATATAAATAATCCTCCAGAACTAGAAATTATAAAAACAACAGACACGGCTTCCTCCGCCTCATTTTTAGACTTATACCTCGAATTTGACATAAGTGGTCATCTCAGTACCAGAATCTATGACAAACGAGACGATTTTAATTTTGAAATTATAAATTCCCCCCACCTTAGCAGCAATATACTAACTTCACCTGCATATGGGATATACATTTCCCCAACTCATTCGGTATTCAAGAGCTTGCAGCTGCTACTCAGACTTTATAAAACGTCACCAGTGTCTGAGCAGAAAGTTGATTAACCATGGTTTATGTCAAATATTGTGTCGTCCTTTTTCTAAAAAAATAGTTCATCGGAAGATACCAAGACCTTGTTGATAAATATTCCGTTTCAACTTCACCAATAATACATGATGGTCTTGAAGTATAGATTCTAGGTACTGACGTTGTTTATCATCTTAATTACGTGGTACTGACGTTGTTTATCATCTTAATTACGTGTTACAGTATAGTGTTCTTTTTTTTTGTCTTTGTATATTTTTAGGTCATTTTTAACCTTTACTGTTTAGTCCATTTTTGGTACTATACTTTTGGCGTGGCTGGGTATTTATACATCCCGCCATTGTGTTATTGTGGTATATATATATATATATATGGTCATTTTTGTATTCTTGTCTTTCATTTTTGCTTATGCACTTTGTCTATAGAGAAAAAAAATATTTGTTTTTATAGTGATTATAACACAATGTTGACTGCTGTAGACCTATTTTTGACATTTTTACCTATTATTTCTTGTTTGTTTTGCTCACACATTGTTGTCAATATAATGGAATTATATGCTACTGTCATAAAAGACGAAGTGATAGGTTTAGCTAGCTATACAACCAGGTTAAATCCACCATTTTCTACATAAGCCTGTACAAAGTCAGGAATATGACAGTTGTTTTACATTCGTTGGATGTATTTGAGCTTTTGATTTTGCCATTTGATAAAGGACTTTCCGTTTTGAATTTTCATTGGAGTTCGGTATTTTTGTTATTTTACTTTTTAGTGATGTATATAGGTCATACCAACTAAAATAATCGAGTAGACCCATTACTCTCAGCACGAATTACGAGAACCGAAGAAGAAACATCAATCAAGGTAGATATATAGCATGTCAGATATTCTAATAACAATTTACTTTTCGTAAGAAAAATAATGCAGTTTTTTTTTACTTTAACTCTTAGATTTATCATTAGACTGTTGCTACTAATACAAAAAAAAAAGTTAAATTCGTCGTAAACAAACACATACCAATTAACATGCCGGCACTTTTATTAATTTTATTCTTACCTTTCTAGATCATTCGAAGTTCGGTGTTTTTGTCGATTCATTCGTACAAGACGAACAATTAAACACAGGGCAAGTAATAACAAGATAATATTTAGTGTGATACTTCCATATAATAAGTATGCTGAAAATGAAATAAAAAAATAATTTAGAGATGAATCGAGTGAAAATTAAAGAAAAGAAGAACATGAATGAAATAAGGTTCATCAGAACCTTTCAGCAAATATGGCCGTATTTACACAACATATTTCACTCTGAAAACAGACAAACCTGTGCACCTGGATAAGTTTTGGAACATGGCTGGTCCTAGATATTTAAAATTTGAATGCATTTTAAGTTTCAGAATATTAAAAACCTAACTGCATTTTGCTATTTATTTTTTTCATTCCTGCAGAAGGTGCCAATTTAAACTAAGTTGAGAAAGAGTTTTGAGAAGCTTCCTTCATATAATTAATGTTATGAGCTGCATTGATTTAAATAGACAATAGATGGACAATAGACATCTGAAAACAATGGGTGATTTAAACTGTGTTATTGAGTGGGGTGTGCTGGTGGTTTATGCCACAGGGTAGTGATATGCGTCAAGTGTGGTAGCAAGTCTATGATTTGTTAACTACCGCTGGTTAGCATACTTGCTGTGTGGAAAGAAAGCCGAGTGTGTACTAAGTAAGTCTTTCCTGTTAGTACATAGCCTCTACACTACCAAGAATCCTGCAATGCCTCCCCGCGACAGTGCACGTAAACTGGGTTCTAGTACCTCAGGCTAAACTGCAGGAGATCTCGGAGCAGCAAGGGCCCTAGAGATGCAATGTGTAGGACCACCGGTGTGTGGAAATGCCCTAGTACTCATCAACCTTGTACCAACTATGGGTAAATAGTCGGTTAGATGAGGGTCGTAGCCCAGTAAGGCAACTCATCTAGGAGATGGTAAACTTTGAAAACCTGGATAGAATGGATTCATTAGCTCAGGACAGCAGCCTTTCTAGAGGATGGAAACCTTGACCTCAAATTCCCTGGACCTCCAGGTTGGAGTGTTGAGCATGGGATTAACTCCCCCTGTAAAAAGTATCACAGTTACAGAAACAATCTTATTAAAATATAGATCTCTGATTTCGTTATATTTCGTTAAAATATAGATCTCTGATTTCGTTATACTACAAATGTAGTATAACGATATCAGAGATCTATATTTTAATTAGATAGTTACAGAAACCACAACAATTGAAATTAGCTGTTTTGGCTTGATGTCCCACTGGGGATGAAGAGGATACTGTGGATTCATTATTTTTCGTTGGATACCAATATTCGTGGTTTTCGTGGGTACAGATGAACCACGAAATTAAATGTTCAACGAATGACAAATTACCTATAGGCCTGTATGCAGACTTTGGCAAAAACACGAAATTAAATATCTACGAACATGTAAGTATTCCATAATCCACGAAAATTGGTACCCACGAAAATAAATGAATCCACAGTAAGTAAGAACGTAACTGAGTGGGACCGTATCAAATGAAACTCGTGTGTTAGTTTATTTTGCTATCTCCTGCAGATTAGAAAAAATGCACATCAAAATTCAGGCAATTTTTTAATCTTCTGAAACATAAACTACACACACCTTTATATATCTAGCTCCAGCCATGCCTTTAAACTTTACTTGCATCAATTTGTCTGTACTCATAGTAGATTTTGTGGTGTAAACACGGCCATATTTTTCAATTCATTTGATGAACCTGTGCCATAAAACTACATGTAAAATGCTTTTGATAAAATGTTCATTTTTTTACATTGATAAATCGGTTTCCAAAAGACTATTCAAATAAATTCAAGTACGTTTATGAGAATGAACTTAATGATTTTAAAGTATAAAACCATGGAGCTGCTTACCATAGGAATTACTATTATTTGGTTGAATCTCCTCTGTAAAATTCCTGCATAGGCTTTTGAAATTTTTATCTGTAGATAGACAAATGAAAAATGCTTATATTATAGATAAATAAAAATAATACAACAGTGATAATACATACATTAATATAGAGTATACTAAACTGACCAAGGAACATTTAAATGGTCAATGAAAAACCCACTGCTGTATCAGTTTCGAGCGTCCAATGCGATATTCTAAATTAACCTTCATCAGGAACGCTAAAACATAAACATTTGAAAGCCAAGGAAAATAAATACGCATAAAGGTTAGTCGCTAGATAACCAAAAGTTACCTTTAAACAACAGCCAAATTCAGCTTATGCCAACTTTGCTGGATGGAACTTTACTTTCTACGTGATTTCTTAAATTATCAACGAGGAATTTTAATAATCATGTTAGAGCCTTGATTTATAAACTGGTGAAAGCGTCGGGGACTACATGCAGCGGTATTGTCAGCGCTCCAGACTTGGGACAGGCACATACAGAATGTGGCGGGGTTAAACATTTTAGCGGGCGCCCAACCATTCCCCTAACCTGGGACAGTGGTGTAACAGTACAACATATGAACATACTATAAAAATGAGTTAAAAAGGGCTTAACTCATCAGATAGATACAAAGCAAAAACAAGTAACAAAAACATAGAGTTGACGTGGCAGGGTACTTATACATCCACACAACAAAATGACACTAAGTACAGATCTGAGAGTACTCGCAGTTACTGACAGCTAGTTCAAAGTCAATAACAACCAATAAAAAAATCATGCATGTAAGACTGAAATAGTAATCAGTACACATCCAACATCCAATGGTTTTAGTGTAAAGACGTCATAAACAGTCAGTGAAAAACATAACCTTGTGCAATGCCAAGATACTGATATCGACAGATTGTAGAGCCATGAATATGCATATGTATGTAAAAATAATATTTAGTTTGCTTTTAATTTACTGATAACAAAATCAATATTAATACCAATAAAAACAATATTCAAAGATCAAATTACAGTGTTGAATTGGAAACCTTTTAAAATAAATTTATTTTAAGGATCGATAAGTTTACCCGGATCGTTTCTAAATTTCCGGGCTTGGTAAATAACATCTCCGTAAAAATTAGGATGTGCTAACCCGTTTGAAATAGTTTTTCTATAGGCACAACCAAACTTCAAAACCAATTCTTTATATCTGTGGAAGAATTTAGTAAAGGTTTTAAACAATTTGTGGTAAGGAAATCCCTGACTTAATAATTTACCAGTAATACATAGATTACGTTCATTGAAACCAAAAGCATCACAGCAGACACGGGAATAGCGAATAGTTGTGATATATAAACACCGTAAATAGATGCCAAAGGAACATTACCGTCCAAAAAAGGAAAATTATTGTCGTAAATTTTAGTGTAGAGTTTCCCGTGTGAAACTGAAATATCTATATCTAGGAAAGGACAGTTACTACCATTCATATTTATAGTTCCTTTGGGTAAATTTCGGCAGTATATTTAAAAAAAATCTTTATTATTTAACGAAAAAATATCATCAACATAATGTTAAGTGTTGTTGGATTTACCAATTAAATGCAATTTAGAACTGGTCTTTACTGAGTTTGGTCATAAACTGTGATTCATGACAGTACAAGATAGATATAAGAAGATGTGGTATGAGTGCCAATGAGACAACTCTCCATCCAAGTCAAAACTTATAAAAGTAAACCATTATAGGTCACAGTACGGTCTTCAACACGGAGCCTTGGCTCACACCGAACAGTAAGCTATAAAGGACCCCAAAAATTAATAGTGTAAAACCATTCAAACGGGAAAACCAACGGTCTAATCTATATAAAAAAACGAGAAACGAGAAACACTTATGAACCACAACAACAAACGACAACTACTGAACATCAGATTCCTGACTTAGGACAGGTGCAAACAAATGCAGCGGGTTTAAACGTTTTAATGGTACCAAACCTTCACCCTTTTTCTGAAACAATAGTGTAACATCACAACATAGAAAGACACACTATAAAATATCAACTGAAAAAGATGTATGTATTGTTTTAAGATGTAACAAAATGGTGGTAGATGTTTGCCAATGAGATAACTATCCATAAAGACCTAAAGAAAAAGATTTGAACAATTACAGATTACCGTACGGCCTTCATGAATAAGCAAAACCTATACCGTATAGTAACCTATAAAAAGTCCAGGGCTTCAAAATGGGAATCAATTCAAGAGAAAACTAATGGCATGAATACATTTGTGATACTACAATAATAAACGAAAACAGTTTTGGCAAACAGCAACCAACGACTACATCTGTTTCCACCTATATGATGTAAACAAATGCACAATACTATGAAATAAACTATTTGATTTCATTTTGATTTTAAACGAAAAACATTCAATTACAAAGATGTGACAATGCCATTCTTTATCCAATAAATTCAAAACTAACAAAGCATACCGGTATTAAATAAATCAAATGAAATTAGCTAGATATTAACAATGCCGTTATCGGTAACACTATGCGAATCTGGTAAATATTACTAAGTAGTAATTATATATATTTGAATTTGGCTTACGTTCTTTTTTGGGGGTGTTTGAATTTATTGCATTAAATAAAAGGGACAAAATCTTTCAAAAAGTATGGGCAATAACCGAAAGAAAGATTGGTTGTTGTTTGTTTTTAGTCTGGGAGAACAAATCGAAAGATTGGTTGTTGTTTGCTTTTAGTCTGGGAGAACAAATCACGAATACCCAGGACGAGAATAATATATCCAATAATTAGGTTCTGTACAGTGTGTTGGCCAGGTAATTTGGACTACCGTTTAAAAAGAGGGTATGTTGGATACCGAACGTATCTGTCCATTTATACATCCTGCAGATACAAAAAGATACTTTGCTACACTTTATATAATACAAAGAAAGTTTATTTTCGGGTATTAAAAGATGTTGTTTATATTTAATTCCCCAAAAAAATTAAACACTATGGCGCTTCTCTCTAATATACATGTTGATCGAATGTTTATGATGTCATATCGACATCAAAAATGACATGTGTACACTCACATGACAAGACAAATTTATCATAAAAATCTAAATACTTTTAAAAACATAAATGAACTTAAAAGGAAATTTTCAATAAAAATATTCAAATTCAAAAGAGAAAAAAACTACACTAAATCTTAATGAAGTGTTCCGTTATCCCCCTAACACAGCTGCAGTCACAGAGTCTTAAAAGACAGTATGTTTACACGTACGTTTAAAACTCCTCATGTTTTAGTTCTCATGAGTGATTTTAATTTCCAAAGTTTTAATGCCATTTTTAGATTTAGTTGTTGCCTATAAATAAATCATTGTTATGTAGGTTCTATTTATATGAATCCGACGAATGGCTACATAAGGCACACCTTTAAAACCATGATATATATATAGCTATTGAGTTTCCAATTCCATATGTGTATATATTTTACCTGTAGTTTTTAAAGGGTCGCCAGCTTTGAAGTATAATGTATAAGAATATTAGCGGTTCAGTATTAGGTCAATTGTATCTTTCCGTTAATATTATATTTATTCTCGAGTGAAAAAAAGGTTAAAAGTTTCACTAGTTCTTATATTCAGTATTTCTTAACGAAGGTATTTCTTATTTTAAGAAGGGATTGCTTACACGGGAGAAGTTTATCTCAAGTTTCAAGGGTAATTTAATTGTTTGTTTGTGAAATGCGATCTTGCGCTCGTCTAAACGCGTCCGATTCCGTTCCTCCATCTAAGGATGAGTGAATGGATTCACCCGAGGATTGCCGATTGTGCGATTTTGGTGTAAATCTTTACTTCCGTTTTCTCTCTTTTGGCATTATCTGTCCTTTCATTTATTGTTTCTGGATCCGTCTTCTTTTCAAGATAGTCCTTTTAAAGTTTTTGATTGTTACTGATTATTGTTCTTTAAAGTTGAATACTCTATTTTCTCTATTACTAGGGTTCATCTTCATCACTACCTCAACAAACTATAAATGTATAAGCTCTTCAACATCCTTTATAAAGTAACGTCAAGATTTTTTTTAAAGCTGGCAGGTCGAAATCGTACCTCAGCGGGTGTCAAACAGTGCTTTTTGGGACTCTTTAGGGCAAACGATACAGTTACAAGAGAGATAATGTCGTCGCTAAAGTAAAATGTTATTTTTCGCGACGTCAAACTGTAATATATCAGGGAATAGATACATGTTTTAACTGATTTTAATCAGTAGATTGAAAACGAGTACATGTACCCCTTTTTTGTAACGGCAATTGGCTTGACTATGTATGAAGATTATTTGTACTAATTTTTATAACCGATGATTTTTTTTAAAGTAGATAAACATATAGCAAAAAAAGTCTTTTTTTTCTAAAATCATGACAATTTAATAAAAATAAATTATTTCTAAACAATTGTTGCAAACATTTATAGCAAAATTATGCAAAAATGATATTCAAAATGTGTTTATAAAAATCTGCTTGTTGTTCTTTTGAAAAAAAGAGTTAGTTATGTCTGTCCACAGGATAGAAATATACAATGTCCAAGAAACCGAAATTTTGAGTAAATGTCTAAATTTTCAAACCAATTTATCTCTAAAAGTAGCACATGAAAGTTTATTTTTTTATGACATATTTGAATTGACTAGGTGAAAAATAGCTTGTATGCAAAAAAAAATCGTACAGAAATATTTCATTTGATAATGCATGTATCTTATATGGCTAATAGAGACATGTTATACTGTACAACTGACAAACTGACAAACTGCGACCAAGCCTCAAGCGGTGACGAAAAAGTAGAAGATAAAACTAGAGGTTCCTAGATACCCAAATTGCTCATTTAGATTTGTGTTTGCCCATTAAGCAAATTTAAGCTTTTCATATGATACGTACGTTCTTAAGGATATTTCTGCATGGTTTGTTTCAATTCATTTCGTCACGATTTGAAAAATTAAAAAAAAAAAACGCAAATTTCTATTGCGTTTCTATGTAAAGCTTGAACTCTGCTGACGGTCTTTCAGAATGTTTTAATTTACAGCAAGGACATACACAGTAATAATCTTGTCACGTTTCGTTTCAATTAATCCATTGGTTCCTGGACCTGCGATCTTGGAACAATGAATTCCATTTTTGGTACCTTGAAACAATATTGAACTTTTTATCAGAGCCAAAGTAGCAGGAAATTCAGAACGAAAAGTCAAGCTCTTTAATATCGTTTAAACTAGGCAATATATACTAAATACGCAGGTGCTGTTATAACGATTTTTATAAAAATGGAAAGTTCCAAATAGGAAAGTAAAAATCATCTCGTTTGTGGTAAAGATTAGTTGTCAAACGGTCATCACTGTCGATTTCTTACTAACTTTCAGGCTCCAGCAAACGCATCCTTCTGTCCCGTGGCATTAATAACAATATTACCCGCCATTTCTCCTAGTCTTCATTCTACTTTTCAAACCGTTCAAAACGGTACTTTTCAGAGTAAATTAGTAAAAAAGAACCAGTTTTTAAATCACAAAAAGGAATGAACGTTTATAACTGTGTAGGTTATTTTTATTGAAATAAAAAACAACAAAACAACGCAACTATGATATATTGATATCTTCTACATACTATGTACAAAAACTTTCAAACTTTAAAATTACAGAGTTGTTACAGTATAGGGTCTAGCTTTGGATTTTTGGAGAAATTTGTGTAAGCATTCAATTTGATTCACGTTCAAAGGTCAGCAAGATTTGTTCATCTAAAACTCAAATGCCTTCAAAAAGAATTATGTCTACAGCCTCTCTAAATTACGACGATGATAGATACAATTTTTCAGTAATAAGCCTGCAAAAATATAAATGTTAGACGCTTCCATTATATTAAGCCTTTGTAATGAGACGTTTTGTGGTGATAAGAGACCAGAAGAGGGCCTCATAAAGAAATTTTGATGGACTTTGGTTACAACAGAAAAAAAAATAATGACTTACCAAAATTAGATTGAAGATAAGTCATAGGTGACGCTCCCTTACAAACAGCAAATGGTTCACGATCTCTGTTACATATTTCTGTAGGCCATGTGCAGGCTGTATCTCCACATTGAAAACTGAATGTCGAAAATAATTTAAGCAGTCCTGTAGAAATATTGTCTGTCGCCATTTCAAATGATTTCTCAACGCCTTATTGTTATGTATATTACTTGGTCATATAACGGAATGTAGGAAAGACCCCATTACTAAATTTAGATTTAGGGATGGAGCTCTTAAACTTAAAAAACTTTATGTACATTCATAATACAATCGATCTATTTATAAGTGATCTGTTTTTACTGCAATAGAAAATAACACACTTCCATTTTAATCTTTACACAGTCGTTAGCCAGGATTTATCCCTAATAAAGATTGCATCAAGCAGCCTGTATATAATCCAATGAAACACACAGCGTATAAAGTTTGATTTATCTCCCTTTGAACACGACTTCATCTTTAACAATTTAGAAATAACGAAAACGATCCAACCCGCGAGACATAATATATTGTATACTTTTCCTAAGTCCAACCGAACACGTGCGAAATATTGCCTGTTTGTTTGAAAGATTGTTGTTTGATTAAACGTCCAGTGGCAAATATTTCATGCATGTTCAAGACGAAACAGATTATGGCAGACAGCAACCAACGACAACTAATGATTTACAGGCTATGACTTGCAAAGGGCGCATACATATTTTTTGACTAATACACATTGAAACAAAATGTAATAAAATACACAAGTAAAATGTTAGTTCTGGGTATCTCTACCTGGTAAAAAAAGGGTAGAGGCAATATCTGCTTAAGAGTAGCACTAGAATATGGAAGTCTTTTTGTGATTTGATCTGACTATGAACTATGAAAGCACCCTTTATAACGATTATTTGAATTTCAATCAAGATTAAGTTCGAAATATTGATATATATTTTAAATCAAATATAGAGAAACTTTGACGGTTTCATTAATACCAATGTTTTGCTGTGTATTCTGATTATTTTTTAAAGCACTCGTTACATTCTCTAGAAAGGTTGGATACCCTTTTAATGCATAGGCATCAGAAATATCAAAAATAAATGGGGAATGTGTCCATGGGACATGGATGATGCCCCCGCTTGCATAAAACGTTATAAAGGGACATAAATCAAGAACGATAAAAGTGACACTACCCCAATTTGTACTTGATCTGAGTTTTATGGTAAAAAGTATTGTGGATAAGTTTCATAACATTTGGTTGAGGCAAACTCAAGTTAGTGAACAAAAACAAAAAATTCGGCAATGATTTCCATTTGTAAAGGGGCATAACTCTAGAACAGTAAAAGTGAGGCCACCAAAATTCAAACTTCATCTGTGTTTTGTTGTAATAAGCATTGTGTATAAGTTTCATAACATTTGGTTAAAGTTAAAGAACGGAAACCCAAGTTTAGGACGTACGAACGGACGTACAGACGGACAACTTTTTTGAAGGGTAAAACTTAATGCCCACTCCACTACGGCGGGGGCATAATTAAAAAAAATCATATTTGCATGTAGAATAGAACGACATAGTTATGCATGGTTCCGTTTCAGTTTTTTGTTTTACCACTAGCAAAGTGACATGCATTTTAATAGTTTTTGTTATTGTTTGTTTAATTTTCGTCCAAGTGATTTGTACTTCTATTTTCCCTTCTAAGTCCATCATTGTTCCCTATATACATCCAATCTTACATTGATAAACATATAACAAATCAATGTATTGATACATGGTCAAATTAGAACTGTTGAAAATGTGTAATTTTCATTTTTTAAGTATTCTTAGAAAAGATTTTTTGGGTTGTCACAAGTGCATGTTGATGATGTGTCAGTGTTAATAATTAAACAGTATTTAACTAAATTCAACATTACGTCTTATGTACATGCTATTGGTATTTTGCTGAAATTCTGTACAAATTTAAAACATGTGCCTTCTTGAGAAATAAAGACATTACTGAATAAAAGTACAGTTCGCAGCGGTAGTTATTGTAGGACGACATGACCTCGTATCCGCGGGTTAAGCAATATTTTTACCGTATTGTTTTGTTTGTGCCTGTGCTTTTGGTTGTCTTTAATATCTGTCATATTATATTCAATTTGATTCTATTGGTTTTTTTTTCTATATTGATTTCTATTTCATGTTTTTCTATGTGCCATTTGTTATTCAACTGATTCATGTCAAAAGGGTGAGGGTTAATTGCTATTAAAACTAATTAAACCCACACACTTGTTTTAAATCAAACCTACTCTGCCTTAAAAACTGAAAAAGAAATACAAGAAAAGTACTCTTCTTTTTGTATTTTGTCATCCTATTTTCATGTCAATTCTTAATAATTCATTGCAAAATGCTTTTTATACTATGTTAGCTTTTAAATGCTGCACTGAAAGTCAAGTTGCTAATTGGGTAGATTCCCAATCTTTTTTAAAAATAAAACACAATACTGTTGAAAATAAATTTATTGTATACATCTACCTTACAAAATGATTTTAACAAATTGAAATAAAATTTGATCCAGTAAACTAAAATTAACATCAACAATAACACAGCACCGAACAAATTGAAATGTAATGAATGCTCTTGTAAAAAACATGTAATGCCATTTTCATAACGAAAGTGGCAATGATCTTTACCAATTAGTATTTTCAGGATTTAGAAAAAAAAAATATTTCTGTAATAATTTTTTTTACCATGCAGAACCAAATTTAAAGTCGATTTTAAAATGCAATATTACAAAATAAAATATTACCGACAAAAAATTTTAAAACACAAATTTACACATCAAAGAAGTTAATATGATTGTATCTAGATAACACTTAGGTCTTCTAGATACTGTAATTAAAATTATATGTTTTAAAGTGAACTAAAAATTATGCTAAGCCTTATTACACATGTTTGTGTATATGATAGTGATTACATTTGTAACCATAAGTTTCTGTTTAACTGTTTTAGACTTCCTGATAAAATTAAAATTTCTCCTATTGTATTTAAAAGTGTAAAACACTAAAACATAAAATCCATAAATTCCCTGATGTCCAAGCATCTGTGTAAAATATTGACTACACAAGCCAGTCAGATCTTTTCTAGATTTGTCTCCCTTTGAACACAGTTTAATAAAATCAAACGTATTTATCACAACAAATCATCATCACATGATGATACGTATACACATTCATTTTCATTCACTAGTAAAAGATATTTTCTTCTGTTGAGCAATTAATACAAATATTGTACATTTGTAAAACTAATAAAAACTAAAATATACAAAAACAAGAAACATACATTTGTATGCAGGCATAACTTTTCAGTATAAAATGATTTATTTGAAAGAAGCTTGAAAATACTATAGTGTTTTTTTTTTGTAAAAGTGCATCGTATATACTATCATTTGATTTGTAACCAAGTTTGAATCTGATGAATTTTTTACTAGAAAAAAAAAGGACACACTATCATAATATTACATCTATTTATTCTAAACATTATAAATGCTATCTAAAAAGAGATCAAAGAAGTAATTTGAACACATTTATGGTTTGTGACTTTCTGTGTAACATGATTCTTATATTTATCCTCCGGTATTTCAGTTTAACTGATTTTCAAAATAAAAAAAATATAATACATGAATGACATACATACAAACTTACTAAGCATGATATAAAAAAAGCGTTTAAATTTTCTATTAAATGTGAATATGTAAAGCACTGATATAAGACAGCAGACACAACAAAAATGTACATGTTTTTTTGTTGGTCAGTTTCATGGGTTTTGAATGGCATGAGTCGGTACGTTGTTGGCCATTTTTACCACATGAGTTTCTTGTGGTATTTCCTGTTCAACAGTGTGAGAACTATCGTCCAAGTCATGTCGCTGGCCGGATATCAGAACTTTTGATGGACGATTGATGTCATCTGTCACATTTGTTAGAATTCGTCTCGTGTTAAACTCTGCTGAAATAAGAATTTCTGAATTGATGCAGTGGCTTAAATACATAGTTAATATTCGGATTCAACAGACAAGCTTTAATAGAGCTACACAGAATTACATGTTTTAAGTGCATAGTCAAAAGACAAGACAGCGAGCGAAAAAAAGATTTGCAAAAAACGGTTACTTTATCTTACATCTGGTTTGCGATTTGTTTTGTAATCATAAAACTAGAATAGATTCCGATTTTCGAAAAGGGGCCGGGAAGGGGGGGGGGGCATATTTTAAAATTGAATTTGAAATTAATCGTTAATACTAACCAACGGAAAAGCTTATAACTGACTCTAGAGTTGTTCTATTTCAAATTGATCAAATACACTTATTAACATATGTTACAGTTCTACTGTTTTATAAAAATTTTACATCATATTGAATTTCTAAATAATAACTTTTCAAAACATGTTTGAATTTCTTCTGTTCTCTGTTTAGATTTATTCTGCACACATTCAATTATATAACTTAAGGAAAATCACTATAATAATTTCTCGAATACTATTGATGGCGTTTATATGAAAATATGTATCCTCCAGATAAAACAATGGTAATATCCATAAATTGCTAAAAAAATCCTTAAAAAATGTGGACATAAAATAAGTAGGAGGTGTACAATGGTACAACTATATGGAGAAGTTTCATTAAATTATGATCAGCGGATATAATGTGTACACCATGAGTGTGAGATAAAGTTCTGTAAAGAGGTTCAGAAGCAGTTACAGATACAAAATTGGGACAGACGAAATGAATGGAGTCACCCCTCACTATAACACCACCCTCAGATACCAGGGGTATATTTATTTAGAAAATATATAAATTGCATAATGATGGAAACTGACTTCCTATTTACACATCTTTCTAAAAGCGTTTAATACAGAAATCAATACATCATACATTTTAAAAGTTTACAATGCAAGTGAAGAAAACCATCACTGCATGTGTATCAACTGTTAAAATAAAAATAAGACGTGGTATGATTGCAAATAAGACAACTCTCCACTGAGACCAAATGACGTAGAAGATAACAACTAAAGGTCACAGTACGGTCATCATGAATAAAAAAAACTCATAATGTATTGTAAGCCATAAAAGGCCCCGAAATGACCAATATAAAACAATTCAAACGAGAAAACTAATTTATGTATAAAACGAAAAACAAATATGATATACAGCAACAAACTACAACCACTGAATTACAGGCTCCTGACTTGGTACAGGCACATACAGAATGTGGCGGGGTTAAACATGTCTGCTAGAGCAAATCCTTTTTTGTCAAAACAAAGAACAGCATTAACACCTTTAACGGTTACTTTCTAGTATAACTTGTAATTGCTGTCTTATGACATTCATCTCTAATCATGTCGTTTTTATAATTTTTCACCGAGTTATTGAAATGTCCTGTTTTGATGCAGTAACCAAGACGTCCTTGTGTTTGAGGTGTATAATCCTTTTTTGTTTCCAGTTATGGTAATAACATTATTCTTTATTTGGTTCTACTTCTTTGTCTTCCTTCATTAAGACACAAATATATTTGAAAATTACTGTTTAGTTCATCCGTTTTATTGCCAAATTCTGTTTTTGAATAAAGATTTTCATCTGCCATGTAATTAAGACCTTCCAAACTCTCAAAATGCTGTTCCTTTAACACAGCGGTTATTTCCTAATGTTTTCTTCTTCACAGATATGGTATCTCGAATTACTATAGATCTATAACCTCTGTTTCTAATATATTCAAATTATAAAATATAATTCAAAGTTTAATGTTATATTGCACTCACCTAAAGTCGTTCCTATTCCAGACTCATCTCCGCTTTCGTCATTTATCCCACTGTCTTTTCTCCCAATGAAACTGTAAAAAAAGAATTAGTTTACGCTTATTTACTTGATTCTGATGACATCAAAAGAAGCACAAAATTATCCATAATACATTTTCAAACAAGTTATTAAAGTATTACGACAGAGCCAGCTTATTACGGCTATTCATCACAGTAAGTATGCAGTCGAAATCCTGCACTTTAACCTTTTAAAACCCATTGGCTAAAAATTGGATAAAAACTTTTAAATAATAGGATTTTAAATGTTTGGAAAAAGAAATCGATTACCAGGGTTTGTGCATTAATGTTTCTAGTGAGTTTAAAAGGTAAATGATACATTTACATATGCATATCCTAAAGCTTAAATGCTATGTCAAACTTAAATAAAAAATGTAGTCAATTGAATTTTAAAGAAAATCTAAAGAAAATTTTCACAGCATTGGACCTATAGTTTGATGACAGCCAGGATCATTAAATTATACTTTTTCAATTTCGACAAAAACTTCGACCAAAACATATTTTAAATTATGGTCTGAATTCAAGAATTTAAGGTCAACGATATCTTTGTCTAAACGGATTTAAACTGTACTAGTTTATACAAACCAGTGAAAGGACTGTTCTGTGGGTCATTTTGCTGTTTAATTTGGTGGAACAACACTAATCATATAGTCAAGATCAGTTTTATTTTGTTTTGTTGTTTTATTTCAAAAGTTGATGTGAAAACCATTGTACTAAGACATTCATAAGATAGTATCAACTAGAATGAATCGCAAACTCAATCTGTAACTCATAAATATGGCCCAAATTTTATGAATTTGAGTGGATTTTGTTCCCTAAACATTTCATCCACATGCTCATCTCCTTATTTTCGTATAATGGACAACTCTTTATATCAAAATACAGTGTAATATCACCTCAATGTCAAAGGTCTTTTTTTTTACACAAAGATGATTTAGGGTTATTTATTAAACGAGATCAAAATGTCACCCTGATACACGTACCAGAACTTCGGATAAATGAACAGTAAGGCTAATTTGTTCGCGATCTGGGCCTTTAATTATCTCGGAAAATTTGCTTTAAATCATTCTTTTCGAGTTTCGTTGATATATAATAGTACCGCAAAAAGTCATATTTGTGAGAGAGAAAAAAAAAACATTCCAGTACACACTAGAATAAGGGATCAGAGATAAATTTGTACCATCGCACTCAGAAAAGCAGTTTAACGAAAAAATGCCAAAACCAAAATTCAAATGGAAAATGACCTGTACTTTAAGAAAAATACCACTGTGTCAAAATCAAAAGATTTTGTGAAACGGTACTTTTATTATCACCAGGAACCCCCATAAAACAAAAACACACTAAAGAGATTGGCTCTTGAACGGTAAATGTCAAAACCATCAGAATTAAATTCGTAATAGGCCTGTATTTTAAGATCCATAAAGGAATCTTGTTCAAGGTTCCACATATTTAGTCTAGAGGGTGTTTTCATTATCACCCGGAAACCGAAGAAAATCCAATTTTTAAGGTAACTAGGGAGCATAGCTCTTGAACGGTAAATGTCAAAACCATTAAAATAAAAAAATATGTCAAGTTGTATTTAAATTGTCATTAAGAAACCAAACTTGTGGCGGACGGACGGACAGACATGTTTATCACTTATGTCAATATTTTTATTTACAATTTCTGATCATATTTTACACTACGTAATATAAATGTATAATACAAATATAAATGTTTATTATTCTAAAATAATTGCAGTCTAAATTAATCTATATATTCATTTTACAAGGCAATTTTTTTAAAACCATATCCACAACTCTGATATTGCAAGTACCTTTCAATTTCTGCTTGTTCCTGTGCTTGTTTGTAAGATCTCCTCAAAAGGCATCGGATACCAAGTAGTATACCGATTATTAGGCCAATCACATTGCCACAGAAGCTTGCAATACCAAGTGTGGTAATTAATACACAATCTATGGATAGAAAAGAAAGTCAGAGGTCAAGAAATATATTTTATAGATGTCGTCCTTCACTGACACAAAATAACAGCATTTAAAATACAGAAGAGAACAGAAACAAGCATTCTGTGAGTATTGCATGGCAATACATAGTCCCCTAACGATTAAAAATTCATTGCATTGGAACAAAATTCTAACTTGATCTTCAACTTGTCATGGTGTAAACTATATAACAAATATCAAGTCAATATCTTCAAGCATGACGAATAAACTGCTTCGCTGAGCGCAGCTAGATACGCCCGCAGAGGTCCAACCCTGAACAGTTGGGGCAAAAGTGGACACAATATTCAAGCTTGACTCAGGTCTGAATTTGGATTGTAATTAAATATTTGACATATTATAGGTTTCTGAATAAGTGTAGTCAAAGAGCTTGAAATTGGTTATATGAATTGAATTTATATTCAATTAAAGATTTCTTGCTGTTGTGCAGTACTTAGTAAATCTGGTGTCCGACTATAAACAAATAAAGTTCAATTAATTCTCAATGTCATATTAGAAATTTATGAAAATAAAAAGGGAGCTTACATCAATAGATATAAACAATTCACCAAAGTTTCATGAGAATTGATGACTGCATGTTTGAGTTATTGTCCGAAAACTGGAGAATCACCCCTTTTTTTAATGAATAAAACTCCATAACTCAGAAATGTAAAATGTGAAATTTATAAAATTCTAAAGGGAGCTTACATCAATACATACAAACAATTCACCAAAGTTTCATAAGAATTGCTGAAAGCATTTTTGAGTTTTTGTCTGAAAACTGGAAAATCCCCCTTTTTTATGAATAAAACCCCATAACTCGGAAACGTAAGATCTAAAATTTATAAAAATCGAAAGGGAGCTCATGTCAATAGATATAAACAATTCACCACAATTTCTTGCAAGTCGGTGAAAGCATTCTTGACTTATTGTCAGAAAACTGGAAAATCACCTTTTTTTTTAATGAATAAAACCCCATAACTCGGAAACGTAAAATCTAAATTTTATAAAAAACGAAAGGGAGCTCACGTCAATAGATATAAACAATTCACCAAAGTTTTATGCAAATTGGTTAAAGCATTTTTGAGTTAATGTCCGACATGTTGACGACGGACGGACGGACGGACGGACGGACGGACGGACGGACGGACAGACGGACAGACGGACGGACGGACGGACAGACGGACGGAGGGACAGACGGACAACGGTATTCCATAATACGTCCCGTAAACTGAAAACTGAAAACTGATTATTTAAGTGAATTTTCTAAGTCCAAGGACCATAACTCTGCACAAAATCATCAGACCGTAACAAAATTCAAACTTGAACTGTAACTTGTCATGATAAAACTATATACCAATTATCAAATAATACCTTCAAGAATGACAAAAAAAGTGCGGAAAACTGATTATTTTAGTGAATTTTCTAAGTTAAAGGACCATAACTCTGCACAAAATCATCAGACCCGAACAAAATTCGAACTTGATCTGTAACTTGTCATGATAAAACAACACACCAAATATCAAATCAATATCTTCAAGCATGAAGAAAAAAAGTTTGGAAAACTAATTTGCCTGACTAAAGGACAGACATACAGACAGACAGACGGACGGAGTGCAAACCTAAAGTCCCCTTCGACTTCGTCGGTAGGGCACTAAAAAGCAACAGGAAAACAGACAACAATATGTTAGGTTATGCATCAAATCTCAGAAATCTGTTACAAAAAAAGTAAAGATTGTCATTCAAGGGCAAAAACTATAAAGAGTGGGAAGATAATTTTGTACTTGTTTTGATGATGATTTTTGCTATTTACAGTTTCAATCTTACTACAGTATCTATTAATAGTTTCCGCAAAAGACAAACAAATTGGTAAACATCTTCATTCAATGGCAATGTTAACTTATTTGTAGGAATTATCCTGTAAATAATTTTTGATCTATAGTTTCTATCTAAAATAGTATTCAGTGTAATAGCCGAATTAGAAAAATCGTCGATATTTTCATCTAAGGGCAACAACTCATATAAGGAGTCGTCTGACAATTTTGGTCAAACTGAATAGCATTCTGAACATTTCCACCCCTGCTAGATTTTCTCTATCTGTAACGGTTTTCATGATAATACACAATATTTGCATTTAACAATTTAGCCTTAACGGCCATGTTGGTAGGCAGGATCAACACATGTTTTAATTCTAGATACCCAAAGGATAATCGTGGCCTAGTTTGGTTTATATTGCCGTAGTAGTTTCAGAGGAAAATATTTGCGTAAGGTTTAATGGAAAACAGACGACGACGGACGCCAAGTGCCGAGAATAGCTCACTTGGCCCTTTGAAGAGTCAGATGAGCTAGAATGGGATCACTTTTCAATAGAAACACAACAAATTATAATTTCTATGTCAAATGAGACCATAAATAAAAATCGAAGTGATTATTTATCAAATGAATCAAATTAATGTTAGACCCAGAGAAATTAGCCCCAAACTTGTTTATGATCATGAGGTGAAATAAAACAAAATGTAAGAGATTTGAAGACTGTTGTTCAATACCTTGTGATTCCTCGGTTGTTTGAGTAACGTTGTCTTCTTTATCACCAGCTTCTTCGTCATCTTCAAGTGCATGTTTCCGAAATCGTTCTACAAAATTAAAACGAAGAGGAATAAAATTTAAAAAAAAAAACAGCACTATGCCTTATAAAAGTAGGGTGTGTGGTATGATTGCTAATAATACAACTATCAAAATACAAAGGGACAAAGATGTGAACAATTATAGATCAACGTTCGGATTTCAACAACAAGAAAAACCCATAGTGTACAGTATATAATAAGCTATAAAAGGCACCGTTATGACAATTGAAACAATTCATATAAAAACAAATATGGCATACAGCAACCAACGACAATCACTGAATTAAAGTTTCCTGGCACACACAGAATGTGGCTGGGTTCAACTTGTTTGTGAAAGCTCTAACATCCCCCTACCTTTCCCAACAAAATGGCATAATGAAATTGAAACGTGAAATCTTACGTTCAACAATGAAAAAAGATGATTAATTTGTTAGTATATCACAGTTCTGTAGCATTAATGAAATCGTAAATGTAGTGGTCACAAAGGGGAGATACCCTAAGGACGAATTTGTATGCTAAAATATTTGTGTAAATTAATTTGTTCTACCCGTTACAAAAGCATAAAAGGAACTTCAAAACACTTGACACAATGGATGATCCATTAGACCATGTTAGAATATATTAACAATTATGATTTTAAAAACAAATAATTATGTTTATGCTGTTGTTGATTTTGATGTGTTGGACGATCAAATATAGTTAACAGGAATTAAATTAAAAACATTACAGTATTATTGACGCTGTTTATATTAAATAGTTATAAAAGTTTAATGTATATAGCACACTCACATGCACACACAGACACATATATGTTGATGAATTCTAACGATCACATATAGCAAATTGATATTGATTTATAAATGATGAAACATTTTTTTTTATTTATAGGATATTACTCATAAAATGAGAATAATGATACAAATCATAAGATTGATATTATACATAAACAAAACACTTGAATAACGTTATGCACATATATAATAAAAATAAATAGAAAATCAAGGATTGATATACTGTATACTGCACCCTGCAAGTTTCTTGATATATCATATCATTAATTTTCGAAATCAGAATTTAATTATGAAGTATAAAAACTATAAATTAAAACAAGTATTATTACAAGGAAACAAACACATAGTCTATGTAAGCTAAATATTAAATAGCCTTTAAGCACATTTTATGCTGATTCATCAAAATTTTGGTGCAGCATTACTCACATCAGCTTAGTAGGTCATTCAAGTCACATAATAATTTCTTTAAAAACGTTTTTTTTTAATATAGGATAAATTACTAAGAATAAACAATTTAATATAGCATTTCTTTATACAGCATGGGGCTAACCATTAATGCTTTGGTATTAAAAATTTGACACACACAAACACACAGTCATGTGCGTTTTTTTATGTCAGAATATAAAATATTATACCGATGAAGACTATTTATGAAAAAGTCAACAATTATAATATAGATAGACAAGTTTACAATGATACAAGAATGTCCTGTTAGAGCTGTCAAAGTTATCAGTTAACAAGAGATAAACATGTCCTGACATGTTTTAAAAGTCTTTTTGTCGTATTCAAATAGTTATTAAATTATATTCAAACTCCAACTACATTATTTGAAGTATTATGCATTCGTTGACAATCACATCTTGTATGAAAAAAAAAAATCTTTTTTAAATAATAAAATAAAGCTTTGATAGCATGAATTATTTCTATAATATTATTCATGTTAAACACATGTTCAAATCTTGGATTTGAACGTATTATACAATTTCGAGTTGAATTAAAAAAAAATATTGTAGGAATTTAAAGATTTTAAATGTCGAAATTTCCACTTTAAAAATTAAATTCAATCTTAAATCTATTTTCGCACGTGCCAAAACACTTCAGTATGAATACTATGAATGTTGGAACACAGAATCTTTAAGCAAAGTAAAAAAATTTGAAGTTTGTAGTCTAGAATCGACCATTCTTCTACTGTGGTAGCTATGATTTTTCTCGGGACAATTTTTCTTTTGTCTTTATTATTGAATTCGAATGTATTTATTTGTTTTCAAAATTGTCAATGGAAACATACTATGTTTCTCCTTTTTTCATCTGAAAAAATAATTTTCTTTCGGGAAATTTAGAAATCAAATAACTTGTGAAAAAAATAAAAAAAAATTTCTTTTAATTTAAACAAGGATTGGTATAGTAACAAATCCTTGATTTAAATTGATATAAATTATTATTATATATCTCTCTATATATTATCAGTGGCCGCTGTGGATTGAACACTAACAACTAAATGTTTTTCTAGTATATTTATGTAATTAAAACACAGAAAAAAACATAAAAATTATTGAAATTACGAAAGAGAGAGAAAAAAAAAATAACGAATTTAGGAAAAAAGGGGGAGGGCAAAACATGAAAAATATCTAAAATGATTTCTTGTATAGTTTTTATTTCTCATGATACTATCTAATTACTATATATAAAGTATAGATCAATGGCTTACCAATGCTACAATGAGCTCTGCATTCTTTCGCTTCTTCCTGCATGAATGTGGAATCATTATGGCAGAAACACGCCTTGCACACACAGAATTCCGTCCTGCTTCTATCACATGTTTCCCCCGGGAATGTGCAGTAAGTGTCACAACATTGAAATTGAAATGTAAGATAAGTAGCATTCAAAAGACTAAGATATTGATTCAATAAAACCATTTTAACAATCACTCACGGACACACCAAAAAAACAAGCAGCCATCCACATTCAAAACATATGATAAGAGGATAAGTATTTCGTAAGCAAAACGATTTTAAGTGTTAAAATTTTTATTCAAAAAAATTAAATCAGTTGCCGAAATAAATAATTTTAATAAAAATGCATACCAAAGGTAATCATTATTTTATTATTTGTCATAAATGGTTAATCTTTAATGAAGTGATTTTTATTTTAAGACATGACGAAACACCCTGTACGAGCTTAATCATTGTTTACAAAGGGAAACAAATCGTGAAATATTTTATGATATATGAAAACATACATATTTATCTCCCATGCATTCATTGAAACGATATGTGATCTTTAGTGATAAAAATATATTAATATACTGGTTCATTGACAAATGTATTTAGACATTGTGAATTTTTACGATATCAATTTTACTGCACCAGATGCGCATTTCGACAATTAATGTCACCACATAAAAATGAAAGATGTACATGATTGATTGATTGTTGGTTGCTTAACGTCCAGTGTAGATGTACATGAAATGCTAAAAAAAACTACCTTTATACACATGCATTTGCACGTTGTGAATTTTATTGAATAATTGTTTTCTTGATTTTTAGGAAATATATTTATGAATTTTCAGTCAGGAACCTTTGAGAAGTAGTCTTTGTTATATCTATGCATGTTTTGTCACTTGCGGAATTTTGTGTTTATTGCATACCTTTGTTATTCCCATTTTTTTTCTAGTGCTTGACATATATTGTATAGACAGCCGTCGATTGTTTTAACTGTATGCCTTCCTTTTCATGTCCTTGGTTATTTGTGTGTTTGGATTGAGGTTTCATTGACATATACCCAACCTCTTCTATAATCATCAGAAAATGAGACGAAAAAGTGATTTTCTTGGTACTATAGATCTCAAACGCTTTATATTTTTTTCCATCTGGTCAACATTAACTGCGGATCGTTTGTCAAAATGCCAACCAGTCAGCAATCCTATAAAGTTTCTGTTAATGTCGTCTTGTACTTTCAAAGGAGACTATTTTTTTTTCAAATTTGACTAATTAGAAAATTATTAGTTTTTGTTTGTCCAATTTACCCGGTAAGTATTATGTTCCAATTAATCTGATACAAATGTAGGTTCTGCAAAATGGGTTAATAGGGATAAAGGTGGGACACTTAAAAAACAACTAGAAATGGAGGGAGCAATGTTGAGTCCAACCAGAAATTTGTCTTGCAACTTGTTAATTGCGGATCAGTAAAGAGTTTTTGCATGGGTTTTCTAACATAACAAAAAAACATCGCGTTCTCCCTTTTCAGATCGAATGTTCCATTCCATCCTTTTTGTAACTGGAAAGCAGATGTACTCATATTAAGTTGGACTTAAGTGAGATTTCAAGTGACATTGGTAAATTTTTTAGATACATTTGCCTTTTAAAATATCATGTTGGCATGCTCAGCCCAGACGGTGGTTATATTTCCTGTATCGTAAATTTATAGGTCTACGGAAATCTTGTGTTTTGACTCGATTTATTGATAAAAAAAAAGATATACTGTTATTACGCAATCTTCGTGTTGTGTTACTAGTTGGATTATTATAAATTTGCTAATTTATAGTTTGAAACGAGAACTAGAAGTACTGCGATCAAAGCTAACATATGATACCACCGCCTCTTGCAAAGGGGAACCCCAAAAATGAATCTAATAAAAAATAGGAGGTGCTATTTCTTTAGAAATAGTTTAGATTTAGGGAAAGTTCAAGAAATTGTAATAACGGGTTAAGGAGGAGTTGCGGATACAAAAAAGGTAGCCCAAAATAAAAAAAATGGCACAGTCTATGCTTGGTTTGGGAAACCCCGAAAATGATTCTGATAAAAACAGAATTAGAGGTGCTCAGAAGCTTAAATGGTTAAGATAGTGAGAAAATTTCAATAATTTGTAATAAGGAGTTTTAGAGGAGTTGCGAATACAAAATGGATACCCCGAATGTGTACTATAATGTGCATATATAACAATGTTATCTCAAAAACATAAAAAAATCATTTAGATGAAAAAAAGAAATAAGGACTGCAAATTACATTATGTGAGTAAGATTCTGTGAAAGTTTTATAAAATTCTGTCAAGCGGTTTAGGAGCAGTTTTAGAAAGCCGAGTGGGAAAGGAGGGGGTATCATTATTCTGTATATTTACATTCATAACAGATTTACTTTTGTCATTGCACAATTTCGTGTCTTTCAGATTATTTATGTCAATTATCTATAAATGAAAATTACTTTAAAGTACAGTCGCTAATATAACAATGGCTTGATTTCATTTCAACGGGTTGAGTACTTAATTTCAATTGGCAATTTTTGTTTGGTATGACTCGTTTTATCATTGTTGTGCAACTAGTACTTGGATGTGTTTATGTATTCTGTTATTTCGATATTACAGAGTTAAGTGCTTTTTATGTGCTGTTTTTATTGAACGTACGTTTAGAAATTTTTACATAATCTTGAAAGAAGATATAACAATATTATGCTTCAAAGGAGAATACAATACGAGATAAATTTCCTTCGTCTGAAGCCATATAATCAAAAGTAAAGAATATTGATATAATTTGCGTTATCGGTATAGAAAAATATCTCAATCATTTAGGTTTAAACAGTATTTTATTCTAATAGGTCACGTAAAACAACTAACTACAAGAAAAAGGTAGAAGTTCAGACTGACCGCCACGATATAGCCAATAGTGCTGAAAGTGGCGTTAAACACCAACACTAAATCATCAATCAATCTAATGGATCACGTAAAACAACTGACTATAAGAAAAAGGTAAAAGATCCAGATTTGTAAAATCAGGAAACTATACCACTTCAGATAGATTTCAGTGGCATGTACTATTAAACAGTATTCAATTTGAAAACTAAAGCTTTGGGAAATACGATAACCCATGAACACGAGGAGGATTTTCGGATGCCCAAGAAGAATTAAGACAAAACCATACTACGTGTGATTGTCACATGCCAATTACAGAAGATATCAAAATTCTATAAGATAACTTAACAAAGGAGAAGTGCCAATTTCCCCTGAATTTATTTCACACCAAGGCCATTTAAAAAAAAAGTATTTCAAAAGAGGGGTGAAAGATACCAGAGGGACAGTCAAACTCATAGATCAAAAACAAACTGACAACGCCATGGCCAAAAATAAAAAGACAAACAGACAAATAATAGTACAGGTGACACAACATATAAAACTAAAGACTAAGCAACACAATATTTACCTAGATTCAACATATCACAGCCAAATAAGTGTACTGTAAGGTTCTAACACTAGTGTGGAAGAGAAGCGAAAGATACCAGAGGCACATTCAAACTCATAAGTCGAAAATAAACTGACAACGCCATGGCTAAAAAAGAAAAAGACAAACAAACAATTATAGTACATAAAAAACAACAAAGGAAACTAAAGACTGAGAAACACGAACCTGCAACTGTGGCTTACTTCTGAACAGGTCATTAATTTATAAACGCCTGAAAAATGTCCCAAACTGCAGTTTTGATAGATTTTGGCAAATTTTGAGTATTTTTAGGACATCGATATCGTTGAACAAAACAAAAAAATCTGTTGGAAGTACAGCTATGTATTGTCTTTCGGATACAAATAAATTCATTTTGGTTAGCGATGAACTTCCATTCAAAATTTGAATTTTTTTTTATTGAAATACGTAAAATATGAAATACTATTTTAAGTATATTACAGTATATGGACACAGTATACAGTACAAGGGACCTTGGCTCTACTCCATTGAACACGTCACAAGTCAACAAATATTGAACTAAAAATGTAATTTTGACCTGAGTAAGCTATTTAAATACTCCGACATGAAAATGTAAACACAAACGACAAAACCAACGGCTCATTACATACTAAAACAACATAAGTAAAACAACTATGACCAGGGCCAAATAACCTCTGTGAAAATGAGAAATACCAAATGCAAATACAACTGCATACAAAATACTATTGACTTACCGTTTGTGGTTCATCTTAAACTGACCTAATCAAAAACTTTAACATGCAAACTTTGCAACCGTATCAAAAACCATGACTTAGGGGGCAAGGCCAAATAATCGCCATGGCAATGAGATGTGGCAATACTTATATAACTACATACTATATATCATTGACCTACTTTCAGAAAGTTGTGTGGACAAACATGAAAAGAAGCCAACCATGATTACGTTGTCTGACGTTTTAAAGTACTATACAGGCATTCTCAATTCACTCAAATGGTTCATAAGTATATATTGGAAAATGGGCTTCCCTCGAATTCTCATGCTAAAAAAGGCGTCCGTTTGCCTTTAATGGATGTATAAATGCATAGCAACTGCTGTTAAATTGATGTTTAAAGCAATACCTTGATAAGTTAAGGGAGAGTGCCACGCTCAGACTCTATGTACAAAAAAGAACCCATCCAACAACTCTATGAAGGGTCTGAAAAAATGGCTTGTTGCAAAGCAAAATTTCTGTCCCTTTCCAAAACACATTAATTTTTCAGTCGTAGTCGAAATTCACGCCCTCCATCCAAAATCTAGCTATTGGAGTTAATGTTAATTTGTTCTCGTCCTAAATCTATATACAATATTAATATCTGCAACTAGAAGCTAAGCAAACAACATTCATTAAAACTGATACATGTATTACAATTACGTTTTATGGAAGAAAATATTGGGATTGAACACGTTCAACATAGACTTAATTGAAAGATGCCGCTGGGCACACATTTCATATATGTATTGTTAAATCCGAACAAAGTGCTTTATGTCTGCACCAAAGAAAATAATAAATGTTCATCTACATATATTTCTGTTCATCTGACTATTGCTCTTACAAGCAATAAGGAAACTTGTTATCAAATATCAATCAATCTGATGTATCACGTAAAACAACTGACTACAAGAAATATAATTGATAAATGTGGTATGTTAAAATATTATATAGTGTCCATAAATTAATGGTTTTTGGCTTAATAAACCTGTTGCAAAGATTATAGTAAAACATTTTTGTTCGATCATTGCGTTTGGTTT